ACTAGGGCCACTAACAGGAACCTTGGTGGCACAGTGGTTATGTGCTGGGATGCTCAACCTCAAGGTCAGCAGTTTGAACCCACCAGGCCTACCATGGGATAAAGACTTGCATTCTACTTTGATAAAAGGTTTCATCCCAGGAAACCTCCAAGAACAGTTTTTCCATGTCCTTTATGGTCACTACAAATCAGAATTAATTTGGTGGCAGTGAGTTTGAGTTTCAGAGGCACTGACATTTAGCTTCTGACTGGCTCTGGATAGAAAAAGATAAGCCGCCTCTTAGAAATACTACCTGAGTGTAATATAAAACCCACTGCCAGCAGCTGATTCCAACTCCTATTGACCCTATAGGCAGAGTATAATGGCTTCTTGGGATTTCAGAATCAGTAAATCTTTACCAGAGCTACTGCCTCATTTTTCTCCCATGGAGTAGCTGGTGGATTTGAATCTCCAACCTTGCAGTTAGTGGCCCTACATTTAACTCAATGCACCAGTAGGGATCCATTAGTACTGGGGGGGAAAAGGTGTCCATGCCAATTTTGGAAAATCCAGTATGAATCTTTATAAACTAGCTAGACTCTGTAGATACAAGTCCTGACTTTAATTCTTTGGAGAAAATTACATCACTCAATATTACACATGCCCGGCAATTTACCCACTCTATTTTAGAATTCCATTTGAGAAATCCAACCCACTTGTATTGCATATGATTATACTGGAATAAGAAAATGGAGACACGAACTGGCTAGTGGAGGCCTCTTTTTATATTTCCATAAAGGAATGATTTCTGATGATGTATATTTCCCTCAAAAAGTCAAAACAATACCACCTACATTACTTCCCCCTTTAGTGTGGGTAAGTGACGTTGCTGTTGTAGCTGCTGTCTAAAGCATTAAAATAAAATGTTGACTTCAGCGATCGTGTCGGGGTAGGTTGACACAGGGAATCCAGGACAGATGAACCCCTCACGACCAGTGGTGAGAGTGGCAATGCTGGGAGGGTGGAGGGAAGGTGGGGTAAAAAGGGGGAACCGATTACAAGGATCTGCATACAACCTCCTCCCTGGGGGATGGACAGCGGAGAAGTGGGTGAAGGGAGACATCAGACAGTGTAAGATATGACAAAATAATAATAATTTATAAATTATCAAGGGTTCATGGGGGAGGGGGAAGGAGAGGGGAAAAATGAGGAGTTGATACCAACTGCTCAAGTAGAAAGCAAATGCTTTGAGAATGATGAGGGAAACTAATGTACAAAAGTGCTTGACACAATGGATGGATGTGTGGATTGTGATAAGAGTTGTACGAGCCCCCAGTAAAATGATTTAAAAAAATAAAATAAAATGTTGACTTAACATGACTTAGCTTGATATAGTGGTTAAAAGTATAGAATCCTACCGTCCTGACTCCATACCTTACTAGCCATGTGACATGGAACAGTAACATAACATAACTGCTCTGTCCCTCAGTTTCCTCAACTAAAGAATAACAGTAATACGAGTAGCACTTAGGAGAGTATTGAACATGTAGCAATGTTAGCAATTTTTTTTAGCTATTGGGTTGCTCAAAACCTTTAATATGCTTACATTGAATAGAATCCATATGTACTAGCAGCTGAGATTTGTTGCATCTAAATTCTGGTGTAGGCATATTGCATATTGGAAGTAGCATGGACTACCAGAAGAAAAAAAAAATCTCTCTCGGAGAAAGTACAACCAGAAGCAAACATGGGGAGACTTCGTCCTAGGTACTTTGGACAGGTTACCAGGAGAGACCAATACCTGAAAAGGACATCATGCTGGGTAAAGGAGAGGGGCAATAAAGAGGGAGGACTTCAATGAGACAGAATGACACAGCGGTTCAACAATGGACTCCAATGTAACAATTGTGAGAGTGACACAGATCAGGCAGTGTTTTGTTCTGTTATTCTTGGGTCACTATGAGTCAGAACCGATATAAGAACAGCTAACAACCACAGCTGAGATTTGGACTAGAACCCTATCTAGGCAATATTGTATTAAAGTTCCTAGCTATCGGACATTAGAAGACCCGAAAACGAAATAAATGGTAGGAGGTTTGGATGAAAAAAAACAGGATGGGTGTTAATTACAGACCAGTTTACCGATCTAGAACACCAAGGAAACAGACAAGTGTTTTTAATGAAAGAGAGTTTTGGTACACTGTTTTTCATCTCAATTTTTAAAAGAATCCATTTTCTTTCTACACACTAGGAAAAACAGTGAGAAATTGCAGTTTAAAAGGATACCATTGATATTACCTGTAGCTTCCAACTCACAGCCAAACTGTATTAGCCACAAGGAATATCACATACCCAGAAACAAATCGTTAAAAGATGCACAAGGCCATTATATAAAGAATTATAAATTGTTAGTTGAAAGTTGTTTTTAAAAATATGAATAAATTGAGAGCCGTGGTTATGAAAAAACTCACATATATCCCTTTTTCCAAATTAATACATAAGTTCAATGCTATTTCAATTAGTAGACTGAGTTCTAAGAGCATGCTGCAGGGTCCAAATTCAGCCACTTACTCTGGGCAAATTAATTTTCTGTACTCCCAGTTTATTATCAGATAATAATAGAGATAGTAAAGAACAAATTAATGGAGATAAAATGCCTAAAATATTCAGGAGCCCCGGTGACAGATGCAGTGGTTACCTTGCACTGAATGCTCTAAAAATGTTAGCAATTGCTCCTGTTGTTATATGAACAACTCTGATATGTTCATAATGAAAAATACAAATAACCTAATAGAAAAATGGGAAAGCAAACCAAAACAGATTTATTGAATAAGAGCTATGGATGCGCAATGTGAATTTTAAAAGATCTTTATGAATAATTTTAACAGTCAAATTAACTCTCTAACATGATTTCTCCAGTCACATTGGCAAAGAGTAAAATTTGTTGGCAAGGATGTAGGGAAACAAGTGTTTTTGTACACCATGAAAGTGTTAGTTGGCATAACAATTTTCTAGGCAAATGTGACAGTTTCTGCCAAAGTATAAAGTATGCACACAATTTGTTATAGCATTCCACCCCTGGTGGCGCAAATGGTTAACATGCTCAGCTACTAACTGAAACGTGGGAGCTTTGGGTGAACCCAGGGGTGCCTCAGAAGAAAGGTCTGGCAATCTATTTTTGAAAGACCACAGCCATTGAAAGCCCTCTGAACTTCCGGGTGGGCACCAGGAAATTGCTACATTCCTCCTTTTTTCAGTATCCCTAGAGCTCTCCTCAGGTCTGTTTACAGTGTGAAACCACTGGCTTCTGCCTTTGAGGACTCATTGAATAAATCTACTCTAGGGGCTATTCTTCCTTATTCAAATGGTCACCTTTCGCATGCATATGAGACCAAGGAAAATAACTCCAGGCTTGGGTCTGGCAGGTTAATTTTCAAAGTAACATCCTTGTTTTGCAATACTCTTAAGAGGTCTCAGGCAGCACATCTAACCCAACTCTGCTTTTAATCTCTTGAGTACTGTTTCTATAAGCTTGATTGTGATCGGAGCCAGGCAAAATCCATCCTATTGGTCCAGTTGGGAGGATTTTGGAGGAGTGGGGAGAAATGGGGAGGATTTCAGGGCCTCAAGTGGGAAGAGAATGGTTTGAAAATGATGATAGAGGCTTATGTGCAAATGAATTTGACACACTAGATGAATGTATGGATTGTGTTAAGAGATGTAAGAGCCCCCAATAAAAGTATTTGATAATAAAAAAACAAACTCAACTTAAAGAAATTGCAATTTAAGGTAGCATCAAAAAGCATAAAATATGTAGAGATAAATCTGACAAATAAGAGGCACTGTACACTGAAAACAATAAAACATTTGATATAAATGATCAAAGACATAAATAAATGATAACATATGTTATCTTTATGGGTTCAAAGACTTAATATTGTCAAGATGCCAAATCTTCACAAACTCATTGACAAATTCAATTCAATCTCATTTAAAATCCCAGAAGAATTTTTAAGTAGAAATTGACCAGCTGATTCTAACATTCATATGGAAATTCAAAAGACCAAGAATAGTCAAAATGGGGAGAGGAAAAAAAGTTGGACAAGCTACACCACTTCTTCAAAGAAAAAAAAGCAAAACATAAAATGACTTTATAAGGTTAAGATTTGCAAAGCAGATAATCAGTCATCCGTTCAACAATTCTTACACATTTTATTTCTTTTCATTGATTGTAATCTCCACAATGTAAAAGCACTTGTCACACATCTTTCCCCCAAAGGTGACCCCACGGAATGCGGAAATTATGGAACAATATAATAAATATCACCTGTAATCAACTGGCAGCAGTTCATTAACAGAGACCTGCCAGCAATTCAAACTGCATTGAGAAGAAGATGCAGTCCAAGGGCAGCGTGAGAGAGTCCTGGTGGTGCAGTGGTTATGAGTGGGCCTGTAATCTTCATAGTCAGTTTAAATTAAATACACCGGCAGGTCTGCTCGAGCAAGGCTGGGTGTCCGACCTCCACCAACAGCCTCAGAGATCCACAGGGGGTCGCTAGGAGTCAGCATTGACTCGGTGACAGTGAGAGACAGAGTAAGGGAAGGCTTGGGAAGCCTTGAAAGTAGCGAGTTACTTGGAAAAGGGTTCAAACAGCCTAGGACAATTTAAATCTTAAGTCTGCAGGCGGCAGACCCCAGGCTGACTCCAAACCCCAACATCATCAGCCCCAAGACTGATCAGCTGCTGATCTTTGCATGCTTAGTTCTCAGTCCTTGCCTGGGCAAGACTCAGGGTGGGGGTGGGGCGGGGGAAACCTGACTAGGTTTGTGATTGGACCTGAGGAATTAGGGCCAGCCCTGGGATTGGTCTGTTCACAACAGACCAAGTACTGTACACCAAACCCGATAAAAAGCCCTAGACAGCGTGGTTTCAACGGTAACGCAGTCAAGTTCCTACCTACTGCGGCAGGTACTTTCCTTTTTTTCCAAATAAACTCTACGTTCTGCTCACCGTTTGTTCAGTCCGTGAGTTCATTCTTCAGTTCCCCGGAGACCAAGAGTTCCAGAACTCATCGGAACAGCTGCAACATTTTGGCACCCAGCATGAGGCTTCCTGACACAGTGGTAAGTGAACAGACCGCAGCCAATGTTCTTGCCTTTGCTTTCTCTTTTCTATATTCTTCTGGAAGGGATCAGATCTGTTTTGCAACCCAAGAAACAAGGGGCAGCAGCAGCTTGACCTGCGCATATTCACTGGACCTGGGAGATAGGCCTTCTGTGAGTCTTTAGTTTCATGCTTTTAAATCCCCAGTAGGACTCTGAAGGCTGGGAGGTGCAAGAGACCTGTGGTCCCAGAATGCGGATGCGTGGAGTTTGCAGGTTGATCCTAAGATGTTGACTCAACACTCCATTACAATCCGGCCTGAGCAAGCGTCCTGGGACTTTCAATTGAATTCTTTGGAACACCTCTCTGTCTCTCCCAAGGATTTTAGCTCTTTCTTTTTCCAGGATGTATGGGGAACCCTCCTTACCATTAGCCAGCACAATTTATGAAGGAAAATATCCCAGAGTTGTCCTTAGTGCCCCAGGAATTCCCTCCCAGAAACCTTAAATTCACAGAGACAAGTGCAGCCAGCAGGGGCTCTCACGGGAATACATGGAAAGAACAGAGATCCCTGGAGCCCACTCCTCCTCTTTTAAGATCATTTTATTTGGGGCTCTTCCTATCTTGTTACATCCATATATCCATTGTATCAGACATACACTCCTCTTCTTTTAAAAAGAATGTCAGGTTAGGTGAAGAGCACGGACAGCTCCTATCACCCCATCTTCTTTTTAAGTACCACTCTTGTCATGATCGGTGGCACCCCTGGTTAAACAGTTCAGATCTGATTTGCAACAAATAGACTGGAGGGGATTCCAAGGGCAGAATTAGACCTTTGATTACTCTTTGTTCCAAACTACCCAGGGGCCACAAGTTCTCCGTCTTTAAATTTTTTAGTTTTCTGATCCTTATTAGTTGCCTAATGGCACCTCTAGAAATGCTTTTCCTAAACAGGCTGGGCCGTGCCGCTCCTTGGTTCCAATCAACCCACGGGGCACAAGTTCCTGCCTTAAGTTTTAGTTTTCTGATCCTTATTCATTAGATTCTTTTTAGGCGCTCAATGGAACCTCTAGAAATGCTTTCACTGGCTGCGCTGCGCTGCTCACACCTGTGATTTCGACACTAGAGGTGGAATCTCTAGAAATGCTTTCACGGGCTGCGCTGCGCTGCTCACACCTGTGATTTCGACACTAGAGGTAGACTCATGAACCCCCTGGGCATTTTCCAGGTGCTAGAGCCTGAAAGGATGAGCAGGAGTTGGGTTACACCTGTGCCAGTCTGACATGGCAAATCTGGTGGGAGGGTTGTGGTGCCAGGGACCACAGAGTTCCAAGCGTTGTCTGCCCTTTGGGTACTCTGCAGTCAGCACTCACAGTGCTTGTCACTGTGATGTCTCTCTCTTTCCTGTTAGACGGGCACTTCGTTGTTCCTCTGTTGAACCATTCTCTTCTGCACTGCATATATAATTTTTTTTAAAAGTCCCTGTTTAACCCCGAGGACCTGAAGAAAGGGTGTTTAGTTTTCTTTTGCACTTACATCTAAACTTTCTGACAGAGAACAATTACCCCTTGGAAGAAGTATTGATTATAACAGCATCCTTCTGTTAGAGTTATTGTGCAAATGGGAGGGCAGGTAGTCTGGAGTTCCCTATGTGCAAGCCTTTATTTGCCCTCTGTGGCAATCAGAAGTTATGCAGAACTTGTCATTTGTACCTGGCCCTCCTTTTTTTTTAATTGTTGAGTTTATTTATTACAATATTTTGATTACGTTTACAAATGAATAAGCTGATTCCAATTTGTCGTTCCCATTTTCTTTTTTTAGAATAAATATAAATGAGAGCAGACCCAGAATAAATATAAATGGAACTTTTCTTTTTCTGCTCATTTTAAAAATTGTTTTATCAGCGACTTATACAACTCTTATCACAATCCATACGTACATCAATTGTGTAAAGCACATTTGTACATTCATTGCCCTCATCATTCTCAAAACATTTGCTCTCCACTTAAACCTCTGGCATCACGTCCTCATATTTTCCCCCTCCCTCCCCTCTCCCCCTCCCTCATGAACCCTTGATAATTTATAAATTATTATTTTGACATATCTTGCCCTGTCTGACGTCTCCCTTCACCCACTTTTCTGTTGTCCGTCCCCCAGGGAGGAGGTCACATGTAGATCCTTGTAATCGGTTCCCCCTTTCCAACTCACCCTCCCTCTACCACTCACACCACTGGTCCTGAAGGATCATCCGCCCTGGATTTCCTGTTTCAATTTCCTATCTGTACCAGTGTACATCCTCTGGTCTAGTCAGACTTGCAAGGTAGAATTGGGATCATGGGCGGGGAGGAGGAAGCATTTAGGAACTAGAGGAAAGTTGTATTTTTCATCGTTGCTCCATCGCACCCTGGCTCTCCTTAAACCCTTAAGCGCTGAAAAAACTAAGACTGCTTCCAAGCCCTTGGTACTTCCCAGATGCCAACCAGAATTGCCCTGTGCACCTGTGGTGAGCCCTGCAGGTCTCCCTTATCCATGACCTCCTGAGTTTCGCAGCTACTAAAAGCCCTGACAGCAAAGTCCCTTTTAGAAGCAAAGAGGAGCTAACTAGAGCTCAGCAGTGTCCTTTTCAGGAAAGGTACAGGTGTCCCCTTCCCTCCCTGGCCTGAGGGAAATTTAGACAGATCTGGGAAAGTTCTCAGATGACCTGACCCCAGAAGGTATAGCGACACTTTCCAGAGACTGGCCCAGACATTTGACCTTTCCTGGAGAGATAAAATGCTCCTTGCTAGATCAGACCCTGGCTGAGACTCAAAGCCAAACTCACTGCCATTCAGCCACTCCTGATTCGATGCTCATATTTACAGTGGATTATTTTTTCCTGGACAGTCTCTGAGTGTTACATATGAACAGTTTTACTGACTGAATTTTCTGAGTGTTATATTTCATTACATTACTAAGATAAATACAACTTTGTCACCAGCAGTTCAATAAGTTTGTCTTTTCCATAATTAAAATCAAAACAAAATAGTCCTAGACCCTGAGCTTTGTGCAAATAACATTTTCACAGAAGAAGAGTGAGTGAAATGAGAAAGCAATTGGTGTAAAACATGAAAAAAAGAGACTATAAGTTATCAAGGGGGCATGGGGGAGAGAGGGGGGAAAATGAGGAGCTGATGCCAGGGGCTCAAGTAGAAAGAAAATGTTTTGAATAAGATGATGACAACATATGTAAAGACACGTTTGACAAGCTGGATATATATATATGGATTGTGATAAGAGCTGTAAGAGCCCTCAAAATAAAATCATACAAATTTTAAAAGGGAGAAAAAAATGTTACAATCCCTAGTTATTTCAATTACCATAAAGTAATACAGTGATATATTCAACTTGTAAAACATGACACAATATATATAAATGAAAATTTAAAAGTTCAGATGGTATGCAGAGGGAAATGTACAGTTTCAGGAGATGTATCAGCGTACAAGAAATATTTATAATGTCCAAGCTTTTTGACAAAAGCGACTAAATAGTATATTGAACCTAAACAAGTAGGTCAAAAATAGCAAAGGTAAATGCAAAAGTAATAAAATATGTAACATTATAGCCATGTAACAAAAAGCAATTATTTGACAAGTCTTAAGTCATTTTTAATTAATAAGAAAAAAACATGAGCATACACTAGCAGTATTATCTATGGACAGACAAAACAACAAAACACAAACAAAAACCTGACTCCCTCAAGCCTCTAACTCTAACTATAAATGTAAAGAAATAAAGACAGCAGGGTAGAACTGCCCTTGTGAGTTTATGAGACTAACTCTTCACAGGAATAGAAAGCCTCATGTTCCTCCCCACCCCCGTCATTGCCCCTCCCCAGCGGCTCCTGGTTTCAAAAGGATGACCTCGCAGTTGCAGTTAGCAGTCCAATTCCTAACCCCTCTGTCACCAGGGTCCCTAAAGAAGATGTTCAAGGACAACAAAGTGCTATAATCACCAAACTGAGGAAAACACAAAGCTTTATTTTTCCAAACCATTTTATCATGGAGCTAATCCAGATATCAAACCATTCCATAGTTCAATCATACCAGTGTTGTACAATTGCTACCAAAATCAGTTTCACAACATTTTCTTCCTTCTTGAACTCCCTATCAGCTTCCCCTTATACCCCCCCCATCCCCGCCCCTGTATCCAGCAGGAAGGAACCCTTGTTGTCTCTATAGAGTTTCTCTTTTAACAACAATTGCAAGTAAAATAAGAAGTGAACGTATAGATTAAATGGGACCTAAAAAGGCAATTAAAAGGTGGAAGCCTAATGTGGACATGTCAAAAAATTTTAAATGTGTCCAACTATAAAACTGGCAGTCAAATGTGAAGAGTAACTGAACATGAAAGATCTACAATTTATTTAACTTTTTTTTGGGGGGGATAATTTTACTGTGTTTATGTCTAATCAAGAATTCTGTTTTTTTTTAAGAACGAGTTGCAGAAAGACTTAGAGAAGACACGGTATGATGTCTCAGGTGTGCTTCATATTATTCCATTGACAGAGACAGGTTGGGGTAGTCAGGGCCAGATCGGTCATGCACTGATGATTGTTAATGCCGAGTGTCAGATGTGCTGGGTTCACTATATTCTTTTCTTCTTTATTATAGATTTGAGAATATCTCTCTCTATCAAAAGGGTTTATCACAAAAACGTCATTAAATTAGAAATCCTAAATGAAATGAATCACTTGTTAGAAAAAAGTTATAAATTACCAATTTGGTTCATAAAGAAGTAATAAAACTTTAAACAATATAAATAGAAATTATTCAAAGTTCAAGCCACCTTAAAATGTTCCATGACATGGCAGTTGTAGAGACCATAAAACCATCACCCCTAAAAAGCTAAACAAATCATAGATCGCTAATGTCCAGTTACTTTTCACATGTAACTGCCAGTTTTATACTTGGACACATTTACATTTCTTTGAGGTGTCCACATTAGGCTTCCACCTTTTAATTGCTTTTTATATTCTGTTTAATCTACATGTTCACTTCTTTTGTTTACTTGCAATTGTTCTTGTTAAAGGGCAAAGTCAGGATAGATGCATGTATAGGGACAATAATGAGTATTTGTATGGGTGTGTGTGTGTGTGTGTGTGTGTGTGTGCGCGCGCGCGCGCATACCTACCAACAACAGGGCAGAACTACTCCAGTGATTTTCTGAGGCTACAACACTGTACGGAGCTAAAAGCCCCATCTTTCTCCTGCGGAAATGCTGGTGGTTTTGTACTGCTGACCTTGCTGTTAACAGCTCAACACGCAATCACTACACCATAAGGGCTCACTAACATAGCAGCAAATATTCAAAATAAATGAAAAGCATATTTATTCATTTTAATCATTTTATTGGGGGCTCTTACAATTCTTGGAAAAACCATACATCAATTGTGTCTGACATATTCGTACATAGAGTCCATCATTCTTTTCTAGATATTTACTTTCCATTGAGCTCTTGGGATCAGCTGCTCTCTTTTCCCCTCCTCCTCCCCAACCTTGTCCCCAAAGAGCAAAAAATAATTCACAACAGCCCCCAAAGCCCAGCGGCCATGCCCCCCCGGGGCCCATCCACCCAGCAGAGCTTCCGGAAATCTAGTGGCTCCACCTCCTTGCGGTTGAGAAACTTTAGAACAAAGCCTTGGTGGGATCTGGGACACAAAACCTTTTTCTGCCAGGGCTTTGGTTGGACAAATGCTGGGGTCTGGCGAAGGGGCGCCAAGATAGGATTAAGATCTTATGTGTGTGAGGACCACCGCCTCCCTAGAGAGTCGCCCTGATTTCCAACATGGAGTGAGGGAGTGTGTGGTGGGGGGGACCTGGGGGGGGTTCCCATGTCCACAGAGGGAGAGGACTCACCGACACTCACAGCCGGGCTTCTGAGCGACCCCCTTGGGGTTGTAGCCCTGCCTCTCCCTTGTTGTCAGCCCCGGGAGACCCTGGCGAGGCTCCCTAGAGTTCAGTGTTTCCAGACTTCTGCTTCCGGAGACTAAGGGCCCCCCAAGGTCATCTGAGGTCGTGGTGTTTATGTCTGAGGGGACCGGAGTGCAGTGGGCCGTGGGGGAGATGGCCAGGCCTTCCTGAGACCCTGTGTCAACCTGGGTGCCAGACGCCTGGCCTCACTTAAGTCTCGGTGCTCTGGAATCAGGGTACGCGTCGGGGTGCGGGGCCTGTGACTAGGCCATGAAGGCAGCTTGCCAAGGGGGACGTCTGAGGGGGGCCCAAGCACCTGCCTGCCCCTGCTCCCAGCTCCCAATGGCCACAAGTCTGTCCTACAGGGTCGCTGTGAGTCAGCATGGACTCAGTGGCGGTTAGTTAAGTTTGGGGGTTTGGGGTTTTTTTGCCCTAGTAGCGTAGTGAGGTCCGTGCTGGGCTGCTAACCGCAGCCCCCAGCAGCTCCATGGGAGAAAGAGGAGAGTGGAAAGATTTCCAAAACCAGAACCCCAGTGTGTGGAGTCGATTCCAACTCACGGCACCTTGGAGGGCAGGGTCCAACTGCCCCTGTGGGTTTCCGAGACCAAAACTGTCGATGGGGTAAGAAAGGCCCATCTTTCTCCCTGCGAGCGGCTGGTGGGTTCAAATGGCTGACCTCGGACAGTGTAAGATATGACAAATAATTTATAAATTATCAAGGGTTCGTGAGGGGGAGGGGGGAGCGGGGAGGGAAGGGAAAAATGAAAAGCTGAGACCAAGGGCTCAAGGAGAAAGCAAATGTTTTGAGAATGATGTACAAAAGTACAAAAGTGCTTGGCATACAATGGATGGATGTGTGGATTGTAGTTGTACAAGCCCCCATTAAAATGATTTAATTATTTTTTTAAATGACCGACCTTGTGGTTAACAGAGCACCATGTAACCTATGCCACCAGGGCCCCCTGTAACGATTTCATAGCCTCGGTCCTGTTTTGTCCTATAGGGTCGCTCTGAATTGGAAAAGACTCCAGGCAGTGAGTTTGGTTTGGGTTTGGTGAGCTTCCATGACAGACCTTCAATTTATCCGAAGGAAGATGGCACAGTGTCGCTAGAGAAAATATGAATACCTTTCCGACTGTAAAAGAGCCATCTAGGCACAGTGGGGTCTGCATGGGGCGGCTAACCATAAGATCAGCTTTCTACTCCTGCAAAGAATGACAGTCACAGACACTCATGGGGGCAGATCTACCCTGTCCTATCAGAAATGACTCAGCGGCACTGAGATTTTGTTTGTTCATTTGTTTCCTTTGCTTGATCTTTAGGACTGCGAGCAACTTCCACCCCAAACACAGACCACCTAAGAGAAAGCAGTCCTGCACCTGATGACAGCTCTGGGAGACTCTGGGTAGGTTTGCCAATTCACCTAAGGTGTCTTCGGGAGGGGAGGGCTTTTTTCTGAAGTCCCCAGACTCCAGGTAGCAGAGGGAGGAGCCCCATACTCCACTGGACATCAACATAGGAGGATAACTGGGCATGCCCATTATTCCAGAACACATGAGGTTCAGCCCCTGCTTTCAGCCTTGTGAGATGCTAGGCTATGGTGTCTATTTGTGCTACCTACTCACTTTTGTCTCATTGATATCAGGAGATGAGGATTTGGGTCTGACAGCAACTTCAGGTCAGCAGAGTGAGCCACATCAAGGCAGTTCCTCAAAGAGTAGCACACTTTGCCAGGACTTAAGCTAAGGAACCTAAGTGAGGATTGAGGGGACCTTCCCCTCCTAGGAGAGATGGGGCTTTGTGTATACTCTCTGCACCATGTGAATACTTATTACTTTCTCCTTCAGGTTGAAGAGGAGACCTGCAAACATTAGAGCATCACCGATAGAAAACACTTATAAATCATTTTTCCTTGGAGTCACCAAGGTTGAGTTTTTTGGCTAAGGGCACTGGTACTTATTCTCTCCATCACACTGCTCTCCTGCTCACACTCTTGCTTGCTGTACTAACAAGCGTCCTCGTGCCTGGCGGTCAGAAGAAAGGGGACTACAAAATCAAGGGTAACCTTCAATCCAAAAGTAAGAAACAGGGTGTAGGGGATACGAGTGTTCCCACTGCTGAGAAGGCTACCTCCCACTCTGTGATCCCAGACTTCTCTTTAGAGATATTGGCTATTACAATGCAAAGTAATATCCAGAGTTCTCAGCAAACCGGTTCCTCAAGTGCTGCTGAGCCGGCCTCATCAAGCAAACCAGTCATGGGCTCCTACAATGAAGATGAAGAGATGCCAAGCACTTCATACATCTCACCAGAAATGAAGGCTTTACTCAATGCTACCTTAAAAAAGAAGGCCGTTGAGTTGTTGTACTTTTTGAATTTCAAGTAGCTACAAAAGGAGCCCATAACAAAGGATGAGGTCCTGAAGATGGCAGTTAGAGAGTATAAGGATCACTACTATGAGATCTTCAAGAGAGCCTGGGGGTCTATGCAAATGATCTTTGACATGGATGCGAAGGAAGAGGATCCCTCTGGCAACTCCCACTCCCTCACCAAGATCTTCAACCTCACCTACGATGGTTTACTGAATAGCTGCGGCACACCCAAGACCGGCCTCCTGATACTTATCCTGGGTGTGATCTACGTAGAGGGCAATTGTGCCTCTGAGGAGCGTATATGGGAAGTTTTGAATATGATGGATATATATTCTGGATCCAACGATTTTTTCCTCGGGGAGCCGAGGAAGCTAATCACCAAAGATTTGGTGGAGGAAAGCTACCTGGTGTACAGGCAGGTTCTCAACAGTGAACCTCCCCGCTATAAATTTCTGTGGGGTCCAAGAGCTTACTTAGAAATAAGCATGATGGAAGTCTTTGACTTTTTTTGCCAAGAGCAATACAATGTATGCCAGTGCCTTGTCATACCAGCATGAGGAGGAAGAGAATGAGGAAGAGAAAACCCCGCCCATGTTTTCTGACCGTGATGATACCTTTTCCACGATCAGTTCAAACCCTACAACCCCATTCAGCAGCATCTCTGAAAGTAACGACTGAAGCCGATTTTTCCTCTGTGTTTGAAGAGTACAGGCAGATGTCTGAGTGGGGGCAGGCACGCAGGCTAAAGGGAACGCAGTCTGTGACATGATTCTCTTGTTCTATATGGGTGACTTAGAGACACAGCAATTTGATCCTTAGTGGTATTTTTCAAATGTTGCACCTTTTAGTAGTAGATTTAATTAGTTTATAATCTTAAGCTTTTGGATAACACTAGTTGATTCTTTATTTCACTTTCTCTAGATTATTAAGAAGAGTTCTATTTTGCAAAAACATGGAAAATCTTCAATTTTTTTTTTGTGATCTGAAAGGAGAAAACACAGCATTAGGATAGAAATTTCCTTGCAAATGTGAAAAGAGTTTAGCAGTAAAATAAATGAGCTCAAGAAGGAGAGAGAAAACATGTAAAATCCTGTTAATTTCAAAACATTTTCCATGTTGCTCATAAAATTAAACAATATATATAGAATGGGATGTTGGATAAAGAAAAGCTTAATAAATGTACCTGATAACGGACTCATTTATTTCTCAAACATAAATTGGTCTGTGGAAGGCATGATGTGAGAAAGGGGACCCTAGGATAAGCAACATGCACCCCCACTCATAAAGTGGTAAGGTCTTATTTACCAGGATAGCGAGATATCCTCTAAGACTTAAAAAACAAGTAAACAGAAAGGGTGGTGATGGAGAGGTGGGGGCTCAGAGTCAAGCGCAACTTCCCTGCACTAGGAAGTTTGGGGTACTGGGAAATGGCAATTCCTTTTTGGGGGATAATATTCACTTTTAACTGGTGGAAGCATAGTCCAGAGAAGAGATCAGATGGCGTGCCTCACATTTGAGCAAAAATCTTGAATGCGACATTGGTCTTAGCAGTGAACTTTCGTATTGTGGCTAAAAAGAAGATTCTGTCTGGGGCAGGTACGGATGGTGTCCTGTGCTCTTGTCCCAGCTGAATATAGTGCACTACCTAGCAGTTTATACACATGATATGCAAAGATTGCCTTAGCAGTGACATTGATTGTCCATTATGTGCTATCTGGAAGTCACTAGCCAAGCACCCTTTTCACTGGTCTAGGAAAACCAGAGTCCAATCCTTTAAAAGGACATTTTCATTTTTTTAAAAAATCGTTTTATTAGGGGTTCATACAACTCTTATCACAATCCATACATACATCAATTGTGTAAAGCACATTTGTACATTCATTGCCCTCATCATTCTC